AGACTTTCACTGGGGCTGGTGCCCATGCTTCTGACGGGCCCATCATGGCTCCTGCAGCCTCAGACATCTTCCCGGGAAAGCCGACAAGGGTCTGCCTGCCCCTCTCCCACCTGCCCCATCCCTTCCAGAATCCCGAGTCAAACCCTCAGACATGGCAGCAAGGACGCACTGGGCTGGCTCACCCAGGTCCCTGCCCAGCCTCCCCTCTGGGGGGCTGCCATGGCTGTTTACCCTCCGGTGGTGGGCGGGTTCTGGGGGCCCCCTGACTCCAGTTCCGCACAGCCTCCTCCTCCATCGAGCTCGCTTATTTACTTTTTCTTGTGCAAAGTGACGTGCAGTTCTGCCCTGGCTGGTGTTGCTCAATGGTTGGACCATCAGCCTGTGCAATCAAAGGGTCTTGGGTTCGATTCCCGTCGGTCAAGGGCATGTACCTGGGTTGCAGGTTCAATCCCCAGCCCCGGTTGGGGTGCGTGTGGAAGGCAACCGATCGATGTGTCTCTGTCACATCAATATTTCTCGCTCTCTCCCTGTTCCTCCCTCTTTCACTTTCTCTTAAAAAACAACAACATAATTGAAAAAATATCCGCAAGGACAGGAGGGTATTTTTAACAAGAAACGATGGGCACTCTAGCCAAGGCCACATGGGGAGGTACCATGGGCCAGGGAGATGGTGCAGGTGTGGGCTTTGACCTCAGAGTCCTGGATTCAAATCCTGACACTGCCACCTGCTCGCTGGTGACACTGGACAAGTAGAACCCCCCTCGGAGCCTCAGGGCCCGTCCTCAGGTGTGAGCCCCGTAAGAGCCCCTCCCTCCGGAAGGGGGTGAGGACTCGCACAGAATGGGGGAGTCAGGCTGTGCCTCCCTCAGAGGCCCACCCGTGAGGACTGGCCCGGGTGCTGCTGCCGGTGGCTGTCACATGACCCGAGGGCTGGGGGCCAGCAGGTGAGCAGCGGGATGGGCCCCCTCACATGATCCCGGGGTCCTCTCGAGCCCTGAGGAGCCCAGCTCCCTCACCGCCCCGGGGGCTCTGCTCCGTTTCCAGCCAGCTTCCAGGACAGGTAGCTCTGCGCGGCCCGTCCAAACATCCTCTTCCGCGTCTAGAGCCCGGGGCAGCTAAAAATGTCCCGCTTAGCCAGAAAACAAACAGCGCGCTTCCCCTGCCTTTGTACACAGGACACAGGCCAAGGCCACGGAGGCAGCGAGGTGGGCTCCCGGGCTGCCCTGGGCCGGGGGTCAGTCTGTCTGTCTGCCGGCCTTCCTGGGGTCCCCCCTGCCTCCCGGCACTCACAGCCACAGCGGCCAGCGCCTCCGGGGTGGGGGCTCACTGTGAGGACCCCCTCCCCCCCAGGCATGTGCCCGGCTCTCCCAGCCTTGGCTCCTCGCCTAGTTCACGCTGTGTGTGTGTGCGTGTGTGTGTGGTGTGTACGTGCACACACATGCGTGCAGCATGGAGTAATGATCATGATCATCCTGATAGCCAGCATTTACAGATTGCCCAGTCCTGCTTCCCGCAATCAGGATGCAATAACTCATGGGACTCCACGCGGTCACCACCACGGTTCCCCAAATCCAACGAGGAGCAAACCGAGGCTCAGAAAGATGGAGTGCTTTGCTCAAGGCCCCGAGCCAGTACATGGTAAAGATGGGGGGGGGGGGTTCTTTGAACCCAGGCAGTCTTTGACAGGAAGCCTGGTCCCGTACCCCCTCTCCGAGCCTCAGTTTCCCCATCTGTAAAAGGAGCACGTATGAAGGCACACCTCGCTCGCTGGAGACTGTGAGGGTGCAGCAGGGCGGAGCTGTGCGGACAGGGAGGCGGGACGGGGGAGCCGGCCGCCTGGGGGAGCAGACTGCGCTCCATGGCACAGAGAATGCGCGTTGCCCTCACAGAGCCTGGGGCTGGGGTCTCAGGCCCTTTGGGCGTGGCCTTGGCTGACCCCAACGTGGAGCTCCATGTCCTTCTCCATCCAGCCGGGAACGGCACACCTGCCTGGCCTGGGTGCTGCCAGGCCCCCTTGGCAGGATGGGAGCACCTGGTACCCAGCATTCCCACCCTCTGGACTGAGTCTGCCCTTGGGATGGAAGCCACTCCTCCCTCAGCCCTGGGTCCTCGCCCTGAGGGGTGAGGTGGTTTGTAACGGAGGAGGGTGTGCGTGCTCTGCTCTAAACACCCCTCCCCTGGGCAGCCCCCCGGCCCCAGCACCTGGCTGGGGGCTGGGGCCACTCCATGTTCCAAACTCGGTTCAGACCTGCCAGGGGACCGGAGGGGTAAGTATGGGGTACTCAGAGACCCCTGCCCAGAGAGGCCCGCTCCCGGCCCTGCTGAAAGTCTGACTCCTCAGTGGCCCCAATGCCCCCGGGGCGTCCTTTGCTTCCAACTTCAGAGGCTCAAGCCCCTCTTCCCCTCTCCCCACCCCCCAGGCAGGGCATGACATCGTTGCACCAACAGGCCAGGACCCGGAAAGAGAAACAGGGAAGGTGCTTCCTCGTTTATTCTTCCACAGCAGACATCTATACGCAGCGACTGGGAGCTGGGAGCTGCAGCAGGCCTAGCTCACCGGGAGCGCAGTGCAGGGCTAGGCCGATGCCCGGGCAAGGACGGTGCCATGGCAGCACGCTGCGGGAACCCAGAGCAAGCCATGCGCTGGGGCGGGGGCTTCCCGGAGGAGGTGCAGACTGAGCTGAGCTCGACGGGGTGAGGGAGGTGTTCCTTTGTGTGGGAAGGCCCACACACAAACAGGGTGTCCACAGGAGGGGGTCCAGGAGAGGGGTTCGCCTCAGCTCAGCAGTCAGTCCCGGGCATGGTCCCTGCGCCGCTATGGTCTCCGTTCTGTCACTTCTAACCGTGCGGGGACACCTGGATTGTGACGATCTGTGTCCATCTCACACAGGAGCCTGGAGGGCCCAGATGCCAGGACCGACGTCCTTCCTCGTGCCATTTCCCATCGCTGCACACAGGGCCTGCACACAGCAGGTGCTCACATGGCCTGCACACAGCAGGTGCTCACAGGGCCTGCACACAGCAGGTGCTCACAGGGCCTGCACACAGCAGGTGCTCACAGGGCCTGCACACAGCAGGTGCTCACAGGGCCTGCACACAGCAGGTGCTCACAGGGCCTGCACACAGCAGGTGCTCACAGGGCCTGCACACAGTAGGTGCTCACAGGGCCTGCACACAGCAGGTGCTCACAGGGCCTGCACACAGTAGGTGCTCAGCGATGCTGTGCCCAGGAGTCCTCTCTTTTTTGCCTTTCCCCGGAGGCTGAGCTGTGTGCACCCTCAAAAGTTTAAGTTGCTACGTGTTTTTCCATAAAAGTACATCAGTGTGTTTGGTGCTTATATTGTACAAGCCCTGTGCAAAAAGGGTCATTACTGCCATCATCACCACCACCTGCCAGGAGGCAGCGCGTCACTGTGGTTTAGGTATGTGGGCTTCTGCAGCTGGACTGCGTGGCTGTGTGACCCTGAGCAAGTGGCTTACCCTCTCTGTGCTCCCATGTCTCCGTCTGTTAGACAAGAGTGACGTACCTCATAGAGCACCGAGAGGCTGCACACGGAGAACGAACACTACCCACCACATGGTCACCTCAATAATAATGGTAGCGCCCGGCTGGCGTGCCTCAGTGGTTGAGTGTCAACCTATGAACCAGGAGGTCACGATTTTGATTCCCAGTCAGGGCATATGCCTGGGTTGTGGGCTCAGCCCCCCAGTGTGGGGCGTGCAGGAGGCAGCTGATCAATGATTCTCTTAGCATTGATGTTTCTCTCTCCCTCCCTTACTCTCTGAAATCAATAAAAAATGTATTTTAAAAATATTAATAATGGTAGGTATTATCATCCCGTTACAGATAAGGATATAGAAAGTCAAGGTCAAAACCACCTAGCTATCCAGGGGAACCGTTTTAATCTCTTAAGTCTTTAAATGTCAAACCTTGAGTTTGGGGTTATCCCCCCCCCCCACCCCCATTTCCCTTGTCACTCTGTCTCCTAGTTTATCTCTTCATGCATCTGTCTGTCCTCTGGACGGGGCTCCTCCGGGGCTGGCGCCTGCATCGGCCTGGTGCCTGGAACACACCGGCCACCAGGAGACTCCGGAAGCTGCGTGAAAGAAAGATGCCCACTATGCGCCAGGCAGCTGCGCGGTGCTACCCCGTGGATTATGGTGTTTGAGCCTCCAGACCCCTCTCTGCATGGCTGTCTGCAGAGGCCCTCCGGAGAAGTCCTCCGAGGAGAAGGTTTGTGAAGAGAAGACGGTATGTTTGTCTCCGTGGGGGAAGGGGTGGATGTGAGCGAGGACCAGGCTGCCATTGTTTGGGAAGAAAGGCCAGAGGAGAGTCAGGGCCCAGGAACCCGGTAGAGTCTCCTGAAGCCGGGAGCAGGGGGACGCGGTGCCGCCGCTGGGTGCTGGGCTCAGCGGGTGTGTGTGTGACTGGGACCGTGTGACGCTGAAGACAGGACACGGCGGCTCCCAGAGCTGGGGTGGGAGGCTTCGCTGTGTGGGTGCTGTGGGTGGTGGGTGCTGCTGTGGGCCGTGGGCCCTGGGCCTCAAGGCGGGGGGCTGCGGGAGGTCGTAAACATCGGGGCGACTGGGAGGCTGCAGGCTGGTGGGAGTCTGTGTGCCTCTGCAGTTCAACAAATTCAAAGGCAGCCAATGCCAGCCTCGCCCGCTATGTGCCAGGCAACCGGCTAGGAGGAGCGCTGAGCCCAGCCTCCGGCTGAATGGCACTGGCCGTGGGTTTGTGCGCCCACCTTGGGGCTGGCGTGGAGCTGGGTGCTGCATGCACCGAGCCCTCACCGACACCCTCTCCCGCTCTGAGGCCAGAGGGAGGAGCACAGAAAGGAAATGACTTGCCCAAGGTCACCCACCCAGCAACTCCCAGCCAGGGCAGGATCTGAACCGAGGCGCAGAGCCTGATCCCTCCCCCTCCAGGCCTGTGGGGGGGGGGAGAGGGGGGCTCCCCGCAAATGTCTGTTCAGGACTCCTGGCAGCTGCTCAGGCCACATCTCCCCAACCACGCGAAACCAGGCTACCCCCACTGTGCTGAGGGCTCTTCAGCTCCAGTTCTCCCTTTCCCGGGGCCAGACTCCTGGGCAGAGGGGCTGCTGGGCCTTGGGAGACCCCTCAACGCCCCACCCGTGCCTCTGGCCCTCCCAAGCTCCTGCCACCCCCCCCTTCCCTCCCTGTGCTGACTCTCAGCCAGAAGAGGAAAGGCTGTCTCCACCCACCTCTCCCATCTTTATATAAAAGCCAGAACAGCTGAAGGGTGGCAACTTCTCCTCCTGCCGCCGCCGCCGGGAGCAGCCCGCCTGCCTCCCTGCAGCCCGCAGCCTGCCGCCCGCAGTCCGCCGCCCGCCGCCCCCCACGGGCTCCCCGAGGGCGCTCCTTCGGCCGCCAGCGCCCATCTTTCAGCCCCGAGGTGGAGATATTTTGCGCGCGCACACACACACACACACACACACACAGACACGCAAGACGGGGGAATCGAAGCCCACGCTCCAGCCTCACTGCAAAGAGGAAGCCGGAGCCGCCGCAGCCTGCAGCCGCGGGAGGACGCCCAGAGCGGCCAGCGGACTGACCGGCAGACTCGCCCGTGTCCACCTGTCTGCTGCTGGGTCCGGCCCGGAGCTCCGCGGGCACCCGCGTCCGAGCAGAGCAGCCGAGGCCGCCCGCCTGCCCGGGCCCCGCGCTCCGGCCCCCCCACCGCCACCCTAGCCGGCCCGGGAGAGAGTTTGCACCTCTCGCTGCCTGGGTGCGCCGGCCGCCGCTGCAAAGCCAACTTCGGGAAAAGTTTTTTGGGGGTGACTTTGGCTTTGGGGTGCCGGGCTCCAGCTTTCCTACGTCGGGGGCCCCTTCCCGGAAAATGCTGCAGAAGAGCTAAGGCGGCGGGCAGAGGAAGACGCCGTTAGCCAGCAGAAGGAGCGAGAAGACGAGCCACCGGCTGGCCGCCGCGTTCCCCGTCCTCCTGGAGGTTGGAGCCCCCGAGGCGCCCCCGCACGGCTAGACACCCCGGCCGGTTCGCCACGCAGCCCCCCGGCGGTGGTGGATGCTCACTGGGGCCCGGGATCCGCCCAGGTAGCGGCCTCGGACCCTGGTCCCGCGCCCAGGCCCTCCGCAGCCCCCCAACAACGGAGCCGGGGGCGGCGGCGCCCGGGGGCCATGCGGGAGAGCCGCGCCCGCGGCTGCAGCGGCCTGAGCGCCTGATCGCCGCGGCCTCCAGCCGAGCCCCCCGCCCTCCGCAGCCCCCGCCCTGCGCCCTGGCCGCGGGGGCCGCGGGGCCGGGCCCGGAGTCGGCATGAAGCGCTGCTGGGCGCTCCTCCTGTCTCTCTGCTGCTACCTGCGGCTGGCCGGCGCCGAGGTGAGTGCGACGGCGGTGGGGCTGGCTCCCTCCATTCATTACCCCCACCCCGCCCCCGCCCCCGGCCGCCCTCTCCCCTCCCTCCCTGCAGGGAACTTTGCACCCTTGCAGCCCAGGTGCCTGGCACCGGGCGCTGGGTGACCTCCGAGGGCCGAGACCCGAGGTCCGGGCGGTGCCAGGCGCTGGGAGGAGGGGGCAGAGGGGGCCTGCTTTCCCGGGGAGGCCCCAGGTCCCCCGGCCGTTCAGCGCGGGGAAAGGGGTGTGCGGGGGGTGGGGTGTCGCCGGGGTGCAGAGGGCACCCCCTGAGCCCGCTTGGCTCCCAGCTGGGGTTCCGGGGGGACCCGGCCTGCGGGAGGTGCGAGCTGCCTGCCGCACCGGGGGTGGCCGCCACGCCAGCCTCCGCCAGCGGTGTGCGTCCCGCCGCGGCCCCGGAGCGCGGTCCGGAGCAGCCCGTGTCTGGGGCCGGGAGGGAGGAAGGTGGGGGAAAGACGGGTTTCGGGCAGCCGAGGAGGGGGGAGTGGGGCTCCTGAGGAATCCGGCCCCGGAGCGGCGGGTGCCCGCGGCCCCGCAGGACCTGCGCCCTCTCCCCACGCGCAGGGCGCGCCGCGGCCGCCGGGAAAGCCGGGCTGCGGGGGACGCGGGGTGTGACCGCCCCTTCCCCGCCCGGCGGAGCTGTCGGGCCGGATCCGTCCCCCCCTCCGGGCCTCACGTAGCCGGGAGCTGGCGAACGCACCCGGAATCCAGGTGGGAAAGGGGCGGGGCGGGCGGGGGCGCGCGGGGCGGGGGGAGCGGGCTGCGGGGAGCGCGGCGCCCGGGTCCGGCCCCGGCCCCGCCTCTGCCCCGCGGGGGCCGGGAGCCCGCACGCCGCTTGCCCCGGGAGGGCGGGCCCCGCTCGGCCTCCCCGGGCTGGAAGGCGGCGGCGGCGGAGGGGTTAAGGCCGGGCTCCGGGCCGCGCCGGGCCTTGGGCAGCCGCCAGCGCAGGTTGTTTTGACCGCGGAGGAGCGGCCGCCTCTCCTTTTGTTCTCGGGGCTCCCGGAGGGCCGCCGGCCGGCCGGCCGCCCCGGCCCCGCCCTTCCGCGGCGCCCCCCGCGGCCCGCACCCGCACCCGGAGAGGACGCGGGCCTCGGCGCGGCGGCCCGCAGGCCCCTCCCGGCGCCCCCTCCCTCCCCTCCGCTCCCCCGGAGCCCCCGCCGGTGGCCAGCTGCGGGGAGGGGGCGCCGGCCGGCCCCAGCTGCCGCCTGCCTCGGGGCCGGGGCTGGGCCGGGGCCAGGCGCCCTGGGAGCGGCGTCCCCGCGCTCCGCTCCGCAGCCCGCCCCGCGCGGCCCCGCGCTCACTCACCGCACGCACACTCCGGCCCGAGGCGATGCTGCGCCCGCGGCGGGCGGCGCGCGGGGTGGCCGGGCACGCACTGTGCGGCCAGGGCGCGCGCCGCCGCCACGCCCGTGCACACGCGCGCGCCCCGCACACCTCGCACCCGCGGCCTGAGCACACGCACGCACACACCCAGCACGCACAGCCCCGCGCCACAGGTGGCCCCTCCCCTCCCTGCCTCTGCAGGCACTCCGGTTCCTCCCTGGGCGCCCTGCAAGCATTATTCTTCCAGCGATTGCTCTTTCTCAGCCGCTCGCTCCCGTGTGTCTGCGAGTGGGGATGTGCTTGGGGACCCCCGGCCTGGCCAGGGCATCTCTCCCTTCCTGGGAGCTCTTCTTGGAGGACCCTGAGCCGCTGAGCCCCCTCCCCTCGTCCGTCCTCTCTGCTGATCCCAGCATGCTCAGCACAGGCTGGGGAGCAGCCGAGGAGGGCTTTCCCAGGCCTGCCCTTACCACCATTCCCAGCTTCACCCAGCACCGCCTCCTCCTTCCCCACAGCTCCGCGGGCATGTGTGTTTGGCAGGGAGGCTCTGGCGCAGAAGCCGGTGCCTCTCCCCCTCGTTAATCATTGCCTCCCTGCACACACTGCTGTGTGGTGCTTTGCAGTGCACCCAGCACTTTCCCGTGAAGCCTGAGCAAGCCTCAGGGCGGCTCTGGGAGAAGAGCCTTGAAGGGAAGACCTTTGGAAGGCGGGGCCAGTTCAGCAAGGCACCTCCCGGACAGCTCGCTGCTGGACGTGGCCTTGGGGTTGGTTGGCTGTGTGTCACACTCACATGGACTGAGCCTCAGGTGGAGGCCTGGGCAGCTGGGCAGGAGGACGGGGGAGTCTGAGGCAGGGTCTGGCAGGGTTGGGGGTGGGCTGAGGCCTGGGAGGTCCCGTCTCCAGCAGCTGGGCTGGCTTCTGGGGCGGGTGACTCCCGCTGTCATGTGATGCCTCCAGCCTCAGCACCCTTCCGCTCTTTGCTGCCCAGCTCCCATCGGGTGTGCTAATGCCTTCGGTGGTGGGAGATGAACCTGCTGGAATCTCCCTGCCCTGGGAGTGTCAGCAAGGTTAGGAGCAAACAGAATTTGGAGGCTCTGGTGCAAGACCTAAGGGTGTGTGTGTGTGTGTGTGTGTGTGTGTGAAAGAGCAAGGGAGAGAGGATCCACTCAGCAGGAGTGGCAAAGAAGTGTTTGCCTTGGGCCTCAGCCCCCATGGAGATGGACAGCTTTTTCCATTTGCTGGTTTATTTAGTTGTTTATCTCCTGCTTTCCCTCACTGGAGGATAAGCTCCACTGGAGAGCCTTTGTCTTGGTCACCCGTCTCCCATGCTTACTGGCCTGTGACCGGTTCATGACGGACAATCTGTAAATATGTGCGGAGAGACAATGAACCCGGGGGGGGGGGGGGGGCAGGTACGTGCTTGCTGAGTGCTCTGTAAGCACGGCCCCACTCAGGCCTCACCCTGGGGCAGCCCGCCCGCCACTGCCCTCCGCCAGCTTCCTCCTTCGAGTGCTCCCGGCCCCCCCAGCCCCCCATCCTGAGAGACAAGCGCGCCTTTCTTTTCCATGTCTTGGGACTTGGGCTGCCAAGACGGGACAGGACAGGAACAGCAGGAGCAGCAGATTGCACAGGTCCTGTGTACCCTGAGCTGGCCTCAGTCCCCGCCACCTAAAAACCGGAGAAGATGGGATTGGCTCAGAGTTCCTCAAGAGCAGAGCTCCCAGAACTCCTGCAAACCAGAGCGCTGGGCCCCGCCCTGGGCTGGGGGTTGGGACAGAGGTGGGGGGCGGGCAGTGAATGGGGGGGGGGCGCTGCCAGGATTAGACTGTTGCCCGGCCCCTCTCTTTCTGTGCTCACAGTTCTGCCGCTGCAGGGAGCGGTGGGGAGCCCAGTGGGAGCTGCACTCACATTAAGGAGGGGTGGGGCGGGGGGAGGGTCCCCGGAGCCATAGGGAAGGGAAGTGGTAGGTGGGAAGGCTGGTTCTAAATGGCTTCTGTGGTCTGCACAGAGGAGGCTTCTTCAAAGGGCTTGGCTTTGGCATTGAATCTAAGTTAGGCCCGAGAGCAGGCAGGCAGGCAGGCAGGCAGGCGCTCGGAGGCCTGCTCGGCTCTCCTCTGCCAGCCTCAGACAACGCCCCTGGGTGCGTGGGCCCGGCCTGCACGTCTCCCTCCGCTGATGGGCAGGAGGGCTGGGGAGAGTGTATCCGTGTGTGTGTGTGTGTGTGTGTGTGTGTGTCTGCCGTGGCCCAGGTGGAGGGTGGGGTCCAGGCCCCTTTGATCTGCCAGCCTGGTTGGGAGCAGGTAATTCATCTCGCCTCACGCGGGCTGGTGCCCTTCCCACCTTCTGCAGCTGGCGCTGGGGGTGGGGCGGGGCGCAGGCTGTTTGCCTTGGCTGCGCGGCTGGCGGTGCCCCAGCTGCCTCCTCGCCACGCCCTCACCCTGCCAGGAGCCCCCGGCCTGAGATCTGGGGCAGCTTCCCCGGGTGCCCGGCCTCCTTTCCCGGCTCCGAGGGGGAGCAGCCCACCTACGGAGGCTTCTGGAACCGATCCCGACCCCGTGCTCACCCTCCCACACCGAGAGGGACCTCTGGCCTCCGCAGGTGCCCGGAGCGCTGCCTCCCGGGGCTGACCACAGCCTGAGCGCTGTCACCCTTCACCCACCGCCCGCCTGGGAGGAACCCACCAGCCCACACCGCCTTTGTGGGCCAGGGTGTCACTTCCTGTGGGCCAGCGGGGGAGGGTGCAAAGCCGCACGCTCTCCACCGACCCACTGTCGTCCCCAAAAATGCCCTCCCTGCTGCCCTCCGAGGAGCCCACCCCTACTCCTTGCTGGCTGCTCTGCGGGGTGCAACTAGGCCGCCCCGTAACCCTAGTGAAGTATTATTAGCCCCACTTAAAAGATGAAAAAGCCGAGGGCTCAGGTTGTGAAAAGACTTAATTCCAAGAATCCAGGTTCCCTTTGCTCTTGCGTCTGCGCTGTTGGCCCTGCGGGCCAGACAGCTCTTCCCTGCGGGAGACTGTGCTGTGCAGAGCAGGGTGTTCAGCAGCATCGGACGGCCTCCACCTTCTAGACGCCCGTAGCCGTGACAACCACACACGCCTGCGGGCACGCCCGTGTCCCGGGGCCCCTCGCCCTGAGGGGACACGCTCGGCCCCGGACATGCACTGGGAGCGGTGCTGCGGGGGCGGGGCGGCCCGGAAGAGGGAGGGCCCCCGCTGCTGCTGCTGCTGCTGCTGCTGCTCGTCTTGTTGACCTGGAGCCCCGGACTTGCTTTTCCTAACCCTCAGCTTCCTCATCGGGAGGATGGGGCTAAAAATAGCGCCCGCCTCTTGGGAGTGGCCGTGCACCCTGTCGCCTGGCTGATCATATCCAGGTGCTTGTACTGAGTTCTGGGCGCCCCATGGCCATGGCCGAGTTAGTGGGAGCAGGAACAGAAGAACCTCAGCTTAGAGTGAAGTGGACTCTGCTGGAGGCAGTTTGTATGGGGGGGGGGGGGGAGAGACACTACCCCCGGTGGGCCTCCTGGAGGAGGAGGTGGGAGAATCGTCCAGGAGAGTCCCAGGGAGAAGGGGAGAGTCCTCCATGCAGTTTACCCGCATTTTTTGAGCACCTACTGTGTGCTTATCCCCAGTCCCTATCCTGGGTTCTCCCCCAGGCAGCCTGGGGCGGGGGTGGGGGGGTGGGGGGGTGAGGGGTGGGGGGTGGAGGGGCTTCTGGGTTTGTTTCCATAAGACGTTGTCTCCTGTGCATCGTAGGGCAGGCCCGGGGCACCTGCTGGGCCTGATGAGGAGTCTCCCTCCTCGGCCACGGCTGGCAGCTGCAGCCAGCTCTCCAGTGGCCAGCGGGCCTTGGCATGAGCGTTACGTGCCATTTGGTCCTGGGCCTTCCAGCCCCTCTTCTGGGGGCTAATGGAGTCGTCATTGCTCCACAGACAGCCTTGGCTTTGGGCTGCTGTCTCTGCTGCTACCCCTGGGGACAGTTAGAATCAAATTCAATGTCCTCAACCCCCTCAATTCACGGGTGAGACCCGGGGACTGAGAGGGGCAGAGGCCAGCCTGAGGTCCCTGGTGGCTGGCAGCAGTAGAGGGTGGACTCCAGCTCCCGGACCACCGGTTCTGGGGGCGGCAGAACCCCCGGAAGTGGCCTGCCTTGGCCTTAACTGGAGGCCTGCCGCCCGCCTCTTCTGGGGCCGGGTCCTGAGCCCGCATTTGGAGACCGCCAACAGCTGCCCTCTGCCCTGGGTTGGAGGAGGCAGTGTCTGGGGGGCGTGGGGGAGGAACCGAGGGGCCGCTGAGCCGCACTTCCCCTCGTCACACACGCAGCCCCGGCTCCTGCTGCACCCTGAAGGAAAGACCCCAGTTTCCAGCCAGACTTACTGCTCGCCCCCCTTCCCTCCCGGCACCCCCTGACAGCCCGGCCTCCAGCCAGAGGAAAAGCTCCATGTTCCAATGAAGAGCTGGGCTCTGGGGTTTCCAGGAAGTGGACCTGGGTGTCCGCAGCTGGACATGGGGAAGCCCCTGCAGGCCCCAGCCCAGGAGGGGCGTCTAGAGGAGCTGTGGTCAGGGGCTAGAAACGACTGCTCGGTCGCCAGGCTGCTCCCGGGGCTTTTGGGGGGACCTCCTGGGCTGACCCGGAGGCGCGATGACCCCCGTCTCCACTGGGCAGTGAGGGGAGGCGCCTGCGCGGAGCCTCCCGGGCTCGAGGCCGCGGCGTGTTCAGGGACTAGAACAGGAGCTTTTCCCTTCTAAATCCTGGGAAACCGAGGCACAGAGCAGGGCAAGCCAGCTGACACCTCCCTGGCTCCTTCCGGGGGCAGTGCCGCCCTGTGTGTGAGTGTGTGTGTGTGTGTGTGTGTGTGTGTGTGTGTGTATGTGTGTGTGCACCGGCCGACGTGCACACGGGTGTGAGAGTGTGTGTGTGTGTGCACTGGCTGGCATGCACACAGGTGTGAGTGCGGGTGTGTGTGTGTGTGTGTGCGCGCGTGCGCGCTGACCTGCTAGTGTGCACACGGGTGTGAGTGCGGGTGTGCGGCCACATCACGGGCATTTTCTGTGCCTGGAGGCGGCAGTGGGTGTCGGGATTGTGCTTCTGCGTCTCTCCGCTGCCCTCTCCTCTTTCTCAGGACCTCGGCCCTGGCCCCGCGGGGCGCCTGGACCGAGTGAGGGCTGTGGGCTCCCGTCGTGTCATTGTGGGACCTGTGGTTTCCCTGAGGAAGCCCGGCTCCGAGTGGGGCCTGGTAAAGTGCTTATTAAGTGTCGAGTGTTTCTGGGCTGCGGCCAGAGGGGCGCTAAAAATAGGGTTTGGCTGGGCACGGGGCACGGGTAAGCTTTCAGGTTTCCTGGCGTCGGAGGCGGCTTCCCTGCCCTCCTCGCAGGGAGAGGCTGAATAAATACCGTTAGCCCTGTGGCCTCCTGAGGCCATCGGCTCTTTTATTTATTAAACACCCGAGTTCCCCCGAGGAGGCTGGGATCCAGGCTCTGCCGCTAGAAAGACTGGGGTTTGAATGCAGGTTCTGCTGATGACGGGCTTAGGACCGGACAAAGGGTGCTGCGTCCTTAAGCCTCTGTTTTCTCATCTGTGAAATGGGGATGATGAGATCCCCCAAGACACACGCCGGCTGGCGTTAACCGTTGGGTGTGGAGGCGAAGCAAACAGACTGGGGAGCCTTCCGGGGCCGATAACGTGATGGGGGAGGAGGGTGGGCCCAATCAAACCGAACTCGGAGCAAGCCGGGGCTCCTATTTGGGGGGAGGGGGGATGAGGCGTCCGTGCTGGGTCTTTACGGGCTTTGGCGGGTTCTGCTCCCGGTTGCCAGGCCTGGGATCCGCCTCCTGCCCACCCCAGCCTGGCGGTCCGTCTGTCCGTGGCCGAGGGGCCCTGGGAGCTTTTCGTGGGAGGCTGTGTCTGTGTGGGGGCCGGAGGGCCGTGGCGGGAAAGCCCTCACTCCCGGCTCGCCTGATCCCGTGTGTGCCCCGCAGGGGGACCCCATTCCCGAGGAGCTCTACGAGATGCTCAGCGACCACTCCCTCCGCTCCTTCGAGGACCTCCAGCGGCTGCTGCACGGAGACTCCGCAGGTAATGGCACCTCCGCCGCCTCGGGGCTCCCTGGTCCCGGGAGGGGCAGGGCCAGGGCCAGGGCCGTCCCTCCTCGTCTGTGGGGCCCGGAGGCCGGGCCACACCTGTCTGGGGCAGGGCTGAGGAGGCGGGCGGGTCGGGACCTGGGCCGATGTGGGGCGTGGCGGGAGAAGCACCCACACGTGTGTCTGGCTGGGTGCGGAGGGTGGGGCGCCCGGAGGGGCGGGGCGGGCAGGGAGGGGGTGCCCGGGGCACCTGCCCAATGGGTGTCCAGGTGTGACCTCCGCCGGGGCGGGCGGCGTGGGGAGAGCCGGCTCCCGGTCCCTCTGGCCGGGGGCCAGCGCTGCGAGGTCTCCTGGGGACACCTGGCCCAGACCAGCAGGCAGCCCTGCCCGCGCCGAGAGCTCACTCCTCGGGCGGGCACGTGCTCGGTGGCACACACGTGGCGGGGCCGCGGCCTGGGTGGGGAATGTATTTATAAACGCTTGTCTTCAGAGCGAATTCCATTCTATTCTAACCTCTGGCCTGTTCCCTGGAGCCCTGGTCATCGCCTCCCCCTGCACCCCCAGCTCCCCTTCCCTCTGGGGTTTTGTCTCTTTGTCACTTTGTAATCCTTGCCCAGACTGCTATCTACGGGGGACAGCATTTCCTGCCTTTGTTTCCTCTCCCCGTTGGGCCCCTGGCTCCCTCTCAAAAGCATTCCCGGGCCCTTTCAAACCCTCCCGCGCTGGGGGCTGGGGAGGCCGAGGGAGGGGGCCCCAGCTGAGCCCACCTATTGTTCGCCAGGCCCCCCCACCCCGCGTCTCCCACACCCCCACCCCGTGCCAGGCCGGCCGGCCCTGGCCAACACAATGGGGCAACTTCCAAATTTAGCCTTTCTGCTATTTCTTTCCAAGGGCCTCGCCCCCACCCTCGGCAGCCCCTCCACACCCCGGTGGGAGTCGGGCCGGGAGACGGGGGTTTTCAATAGCAAGCCTGTTTTGAGGCAACCATGTGGCTATTTTTTCCTAATCAACGTAACCTTTCCACAAAGCACATCTTTTCCCCTTCTCCTCCCCACCAGGGGCATTCCCGAGATGCAGGGGGGGCGGGAGGGAGGGGGAGGGAGGCCCAGACACACTGATGTGGGACCGTGGCTGGCAGTGGGGAGATGGGGGGGAGGCGCCCAGTCCCAGGCTGCCTCCTCCCCACGGGACCCCTTGGGAGCGGGGCCAGTGGGATGGGAGACACTGGGAGCCTGAGGCACCGTGTGGAGGGTCAGGAGCTGGTCCCCGACTGCTCAGTTTATTTGCCGGGAGTTTGCCCACTGTCAGCACCAAGGCCCCGTCCCCCTGCCCAGCCCTGGCCTCCAGCAGCGCAGAGAGGGATGTGTCCTTGGGGTGGGGGTGGGGGTGGCGCTGAGCCGAGGGCTTCCCAGGCCAGAGCAGGGGCTGCGTGTGGCTGTGACCTTAGGAATGAATGGACAGCGTAGGGCGGACACGAGGCAGGTCAGAGGGAAAGACAGTCACAATGGGAGACCGGGAGGTAGAGAGAGAGCACATCTAGAAGGGGCTGGGCGAGGCTCCCTGATCCCAGTGGCCCCTGCACCCCACCCCTCCGCCTGCAGCCCCCACCCCCACCCTCTCCCTCCCTCCCTCCCTCCCTCCCTCCTCTCTCCCGCCCAACCGAGCCATTGTCAGGGGCTCCAGAGGGGCTGTGTCCCGGGCATGTGGCTCCCCCTGGGGATTCTGGGAATTTCTCCATTCAGCGCTTCCTATGGGAACGCGGGGCGGAGGGGCATGGAGAGTGGCCTCCGGGGCCCTGGGCCTCTGCCCTGCCCAGGAGGGAGGCCGAGGCGGGCTCGCTTACAGGAGGGGAGGGGAAGGGTTATTTTTAACTCCATTCACGGGCATTCTGGCCAGAAATGTGACTGAGGAGCCCAGAGTGGGGCTGAGGCCCCCCAGAGGACAGTCAGGGCCCCGCCCCTCCGGAGCCCCCCGTCACCTGGGGTTTGGTCCTCAGAGCCAGGACTGGGGTCACGGCCCCTCCCTGCGGGGGGCCAGCCAGCAGGGGTCGGAGAGCGTCTGACTGTCCCACTCTTACAGATGAAGACGGAGCCGACCTGGGCCTGAATCTGACCCGGTCCCACTCTGGAGGCGAGCCCGAGAGCCTGTCCCGAGGGAGAAGGAGCCTTGGTAAGACCCGGGGTGAATGTGGGGTCCCCCAAAAGGTGGGAGCCAGGGAAGCAGGATCCTGTGCAAGGTGCTGAGGGTCAACCCCGTTCACCCCGTACCCAGGACCGAATTGAGCTCAGGGACAATAACATCCTTAAATAATAGCTTGTGCTGAGCTGAGCTGGGTCGTCACGGACCCCCCCCCCCCCACACACACACACTGCTTCCTAAATAGAATGCGTTTACACTTACTTTTTGTTGCTTCAGCCCCAGAATTAGATATTATTAACCCCGTTTTATGGAGCTGGACACGGGAGCCCAGGAAGGGAAAGACGGGGGCGTGGCCTCGCAGCTGACGGCCTCTCGGCCGAACCTTCGCCCTCCCCGCTGCCTGTGACTAAGGCTGTGGCTGGGGCCGCGGGCCTGGAGCAGAGCCTGGGACCACTTCCCGCTCCGCTGCAGAGCCCGAAGGGCCATGCAGATCCCCAGGTCCCGAGGGAGCCTTCCCTGCGAAGCCAGTGCCCACCCCGAGCCCCGCCTCCTCTCGAGTCCCCCAGCGCCGTGGATGGTGCCGGGACCTCCGTGTAGGAGCCGGTGGCCTGTCCCCTCCTCGCTGTGGGCAGCTCATCGGGCCCCGGGCCTCGGGGTCCCTGAGTGCGGTGACCAGCCCGGCACTGACTCCGCGTGCTGTGGGCAGGGGCCCCCCGGCCGCTCCCGGGTCTGCAGGGGCAGGGCAGGCACCGGCATCGGCCCATTTCATAGACGGGGAAACCGTGGCTTCGAAAGAAGCCACGAGGTCAGGAAAGATGACAGCGCAAAACAGCCGAGTAAGGGGATCGCCAGATAACACACAGCAAGCGAGGCCACACTGGGACAAACCACGGGGTGAAACCGCAGAGGGAAATGAGCGAGGGCCGGCGGGAGGCGTCTGACGGTCACCACATGCTGATCGCACTGGTCCTGACAGTGGTCCTTGAGCTTAAGTTACCCCAGGGCACGGGGAGGGGCGGGGGGGAGAGACTGAGCGAGAGCACATCGGCCACCTGCTCGTCCCACGGCGATGGCGCCAGGACTCGGAGCCTCCCTGAGGCTGGGGAGAGGGGCCTGGGTGGCCGTTCAGCAAGAGGGCAGTCCCAGGTGCGCTCTCCTGCCCGGTGGGGGCCCTGGGCCGGCCCTCCCTCCTGACAGAGGTCCCTCTCCCCTCAGACTCCTCCACGGCCGCCGAGCCAGCCATGATCGCCGAGTGCAAGGTCCGCACGGAGGTGTTCAAGATCTCCCGCAGCCTCATCGACCGCAGCAACGCCAACTACCTGGTGTGGCCGCCCTGCGTCGAGGTGCAGCGCTGCTCCGGCTGCTGCAACAACCACCGCGTGCAGTGCCGGCCCACCCAGGTGCAGCTGCGGCACGTCCAGGTGAGCCCCCCCACCCCCACCCCTACCCCCACCCAGGTGCAGCTGCGGCACGTCCAGGTGAGGCCCCCCCACCCCCACCCCTACCCCCCACCCAGGTGCAGCTGCGGCACGTCCAGGTGAGGCCCCCCCACCCCCACCCCTACCCCCCACCCAGGTGCAGCTGCGGCACGTCCAGGTGAGGCCCCCCCACCCCTACCCCCCACCCAGGTGCAGCTGCGGCACATCCAGGTGAGGCCCCCCCCACCCCTACCCCCCACCCAGGTGCAGCTGCGGCACATCCAGGTGAGGCCCCCCCCACCCCTACCCCCCACCCAGGTGCAGCTGCGGCACGTCCAGGTGAGGGCCCCCCTCTGCACCCCCACCCCTACCCCCCACCCAGGTGCAGCTGCCCCATGCCCAGGTGAGGCCCCCCCCCTACCCCCCACCCAGGTGCAGCTGCGGCACGTCCAGGTGAGGCCCCCCCCACCACCCTTACCCCCCACCCAGGTGCAGCTGCCCCATGCCCAGGTGAGCTCCTCCCTGCACTGGCCCAGCTGCTGGCCGCTGCCCATTGGGGCCTGTGCCTCTCTGGCCAGGCGCACATGGGCCGGCCTGTCCAGAGCGGGCGCTCTCAGAAAGCTCCCTGGACACCGGTGCTGAGGCCGCCCAGCGGCTGTGACCCGCAGCCACGGGCAGACCCCAGGCAGGCGGGGTGGGGCGTCACGTCACGGGGCTGCCTGGTCCCTTCCAGGGGCACAGCCCCAGTGTCTCTGGAAGAGGCACCCTACAAGCATGTCGGACACTCAGAATGTTCTGGGCAACTGCTCAGATTGCCCCAAAGCTCTCCCCTGCCCCTGCCCCGGCCCCGGCCCCGCGGGCTCCTTTATGTCACAGAGAGGAAGGCTCCCCGCATCTGTCCGGCCCCCTCCCCTCCCGGGACAAGCTGTGTCATCACTAAGGAGGGCGCTGCACGAGGGGAGCAGCCGTTAGGAGTCTGAATGCGGACTCCTGCCTCTTCCCTGGAAATGCTGGCTGCATCCAGGGGTTTAGGGTGGAGGCTGTTCTGGGGAGCTCCTGATCGCAGCCAGGCAGAGCAGTGTCAGGGGGGCCTCGGCCTCTGCAGCCCGCGGCCAGCCTCACCCTCACACCAGCTTGGGCTGGACCGGGCTCTTGCCAAACACTGCTGGCCCCACCCCACCCCCTCCCCTTCCTCGTGCCCACCTCCCCCCACAGGCCAGGGCCCCGCGCCTGGGATTACGTGTCACCCTCCCCCGCGCCGCCCACAGCCACGGTATCTCCTGTCCCCACCGCTTCCAGCCCTAAAGACGGACACCTGGCAGCTGCCCTCCCCCGCCCCGCCTCCCTCCTGGATAGAGCCCCCCCCACTTCCTTCCAGACAAGCATCTCCCCGCCTCTGCCCCAGCCCCTGACCTTGGCCGGCGCTCCAGGAATGAGGACACCGTGGCCCCACACTGCACCCGGAAATGCCTTTCCCCCTCTCCGGAGTGCGAGGGGGCTCTGGCCAGGCCGAGGGCCGGGCGGGAGGGCTTGTTTTGATGGAAAAGCGGAGCGGAGGGCAGAGGCCAAGGTCCCGCTATTGTTCGGGCCGCAGGGTCTGGCCTGCGGCTCTCGGCGCTCCGGGCTTTCGAGGAAAGATCCCCTGGGGGAGGCTGGGCCGGGAGGGGCAGCAGGTGGCTCCCTCGGCCCCTGCCCCTGGGTCTCACCAGGCGCCTGGTTGACTCCGCCCTCCAGGTGAGGAAGATCGAGATGGTGCAGAAGAGGCTGATCTTCAACAAGGCCACGGTGACGCTGGAGGACCACCTGGCCTGCAGGTGCGAGACGGTGGTTCCTGCACGGCCCGCGGCCCGCACCGCGGGGAGCTCCCAGGAGCAGCGAGGTAACTGTCCGTCCGGGGTCTGCCTCTGGCCCTCTTCTCCCGTGGCAGCTGCCGGGGGGGGGGGGGGGGGGGGGTTGGATCAGGCATGCCTGCTCTGGTGAAACGCACCTACAGCTTCCCCTCTCACAGAGAACAATCCAGATCCCTCCCCTGGCCATGAGGCCCTACGTGAGGACGCAGCCCCTGGTTGGCCCTCTGGCCTCGCTCCCAGACAGTCCCCCTCTCCTTTGCGTCCCCAGCCAGCCCAGCCTTTTTTGAGGCCAAATCCATGCCTGCCTCAGGGCCTTTGCACATGCCAGTCTGCCTGGCACTCTCTTCTCTCGGCTCTTCCCAAGCCTGGTTCTTTTCTGCATTGGGGTCTCGGCTCAGAAAGTCACCTTCCCCTGGAGGTTTGCCCGGACCACCCTGGGCAAAGGAGCCCATCCCAGATTTGAAACCCCGGCCTCCCACGTTGTTGAATGAGAGCGTGAAATGGGGGGGAACCAGGGCCGGGACAAGAGGAAGACGCCATGCACACATACCATCTTCAGATATTTGACCCCTTTATCCTGGGGATAAAAGAACAGATTAACTCCTGTGGCCTTGAGGGGGGAATTAAGACCCAGGGGCAAGGCCAGCAGACAGAGATTTTAACTCAGACGCTAGTCAGGCATCCGGGGTGGAGCTACTTTCCTCCGGAGGGAGGGAGTCTCCCGTCCACCGGAGGGTGTGAATAAAGGCGGGCGGCCACGCAGCAGGGGGGTGAGAGACAGGGTTCCCGCATCCGATGGATACGCGGACGAAGTTCCATTCTGCCCTTAGGTTTCACAAATCGGGGGCATGGTTAGACCTGAAGAGTTGAAAGGGACCAGGAAAGGACCCAGTCCCGTGGCCGCCTCCACGTTTTATAGCGGGTCCGTCTGGCTCCAGGTCACACAGCGAGTCCCAGGCCCCGTAACATCCAGCTCTGGTGCTTCAGACTGCATCCCGCTGCCTTTTCTCCCTCAGACGTTTGCAGGAAGGTTCCTGGCGGGTGTGGCTCAGTGGGTTGGGTGTCATTCCATACACCGAAGGGTGCTGGTTCGATTTCCAGTCAGGGCACGTGCCCCAGGTGCAGGTTCGATCCTAGGTCCTTCTGGGGACGCACAGGAGGATCAGTGTTTTGCTCTTAGATCCATGTTTCTCTCTCACTCTCCCTTCCTTTCTCTCTCTAGAAAACAAAACAAAACAACAAAACAAAACAAAACAACACAAAAAACAATAAAAATAAATTTTTAAAGAGTTTGCAGAAAGGATCAAATGAGAATCATGAAGTTAATGCAATTAGAAGAACATAAAAAATAACTCAAGATAGTTTTGGTTTTCAATAACATTTAAAATATATATATATATTTTTTAATATTGATTTGAGAGAGAGAGAGAGGAGAGAGAGAGAGATGTGAGAGCAAGATATGGATCAGGAGCTTCCTGTATGCCCCCTACTGGGAATCCAGCCTGCCAGCTAGGCATGTGCCCTGACCGGGAATCGAACTGGGGACCTCTAGGCGCATGGGTTGATGCTCAACCACTGAGCCACACGGGCCAGGCGCTTTTCAGGAACTTTCTCATTAGGGGACAGAACGGGGCCACCGTTATTTCTCATTAACAAGCCTCTTGAAGGCAGGGCCGGCTCAGCCTTTTCATTCTGTTCTCCAAGCCACGCGGAGGCCCGGATGCCCGGGGAAGGCCGATAACCTGACAGCTTGGAACTGACGTATTGTCCGTTATTTATAGCGCGAACCTGGAGAATGACTTTGCTGCCCAGGAAAATGTCTATTCTTTACGTTTAGAATGGGTCTTTTTCTTCAGTGCATTCGTGGCTCGTGGTTTTTCCAAACCGTTTCCTTGGGGGGGGGCGCGTCGCGCGGTTAGTATGTAGATAAGGTGTCGCGGTTTCGGGGGTAGCATTCTGGCCCCCTGGGATGGTGCTCCTGGCCGCTGTCCAGGGCTGGCCCGGGATTGGTGGAGTGGCCGTGGCCGTGGCCGTGGCCGTGGCGGTCCGTGTCAGACCCCTGGGCGCAGATCTCCGCTCTGCCCCTTCTGAGCTGCGTGACAGCCTCGGGCGGGTCCTGCTGGCGGCCTGGCATGTGCCCTGACCGGGAATCGAACTGGGGACCTCTGGGTGGGACCCGCCAGACCCTCCAGTGGCTCTCCTGGCGCAAAGGCCGGAGCGCCTCATCGCAGAGCTGGGCGACGGCCTCGGGGGAGGTCAGGTGTTGGCCCCAAAGAGCCGCATGGGCCGGGGAGAACACGGAAGTCTCCGGGGCGAGAGGGGCCAGTGTGGCTCAGTGGTTGAGCAGTGGACACAAGCTCAAGGTGAGGGGGTGACCGTACGGACAGAGAGGCAGATCCCTGGCTGAAACCCCAGCCCCCTGCCTCAGTTTCCTCCTCGGCTAAATGTAGATCCGCACGCCCTCCGTGAGGACAAACAGCCAGGTGCGTGGTGGGTGCTCGCGAGGAGTTTCTGGCTCTTTCCGTGCATTATCTCCTCCCCCCAGGGGGCCGGGGCTGCTGGGTCTCCGTGGTAAAGACGTGGACCTTGAGGCCCAGAGCGTTTGCATGGTTTTTCCCAAAGAACACAAACCCCTGGAGCCCAGGTGGCCTGGCCCAGTGCCAGCTCCGGCCGCCCGCTGTGCGGCTCCCCCGGGGTGGCAGGCCCGGCAGAGGACAGGTGCAGCGTGGGAAAGGCCCGGCTCTGTGTGTGTGGTTCTGGCCCAAAGCCCAGGGCTGCAGGGGGCTGCCGGCATGGCTGAGAAATCAATAGGGGATCAAGCAGAGGAAATAAGAGAGCAGTGAATAAGAGCAGCTGCCATTTCCTTCTGCCTGGTCTGTGGGCTGGCGGGGCTCAGCAGGGCGGTTCTGCAGTCGGTCACCTGGAGGCTGAACTGAGACAGATGGGGCCCCTCCCCTCCTTCCCCCCTCGTCATGTGGCCTCCACAGCAGAGTAACCAGACATCTTATGGGGTAGCACAGGGCTCCCCAAAGTGCAAAGGTGGGAGCTGTCAGGCCTTCGTAAGGCTCCTGCCTGGAACTGGCACAGCGCCACTCTGCCTCCCTTTATTGGTTAAAGGATCCAAGTTCAGGCCGGGTTCAAGGGGCCTGGGAATCAAGGGCATGTCAGGGGGGTACTGACCTAGGACTTCAGCTGTAACCTATTCCCCTCCATGTTCGCCAGCATGCTGTCATTTATTCCTTCCACCATTCCCATCCGGAGTTACCCCCCTTTCACAGATGGGGTAACGGAGGTACAGGGCAGTTCAGTCATTGCTCCCAAGGCATGTACAGCTGGCGAGCAGTGGAGTTGGGATTTGAACCCAGGAGGTCTGGCCCCTTCCCTCAGCCCAGGGACTCGGGGGAGGCCTGTGGCAGGCCTCGGTGGAGAGGGGTAAGACCCCCCACCCCCGCCCCACAGGGCCAGCCTGCTGACCACGCCTTCTTTTTCTCATGCAGCCAAGACGCCCCAAACTCGGGTGACGGTTCGAACGGTGCGAGTCCGCAGGCCCCCCAAGGGGAAGCACAGGAAGTTCAAGCACACGCACGACAAGAGGGTGCTGAAGGAGACCCTGGGCGCCTAGGGCGTCTGCAGAGAGCGCGGGCAGGTAAGGGCAGGCGGGCAGGTGGGGAGGCGGGGCCCACACCCCTGTGCCTGGGCTTGGGCTGTGGGAGGGGTGAGGGGAGGCTTTTTCCCATGCAGCATGTGGGCCCGAAGCTTTGACCCCCTCTGCCCCGTGGTCAAGGGGGTTTTTCCACGGGGCAGGTGGGCGGGAGGTTTGGAGACCGCAGCCCAGCTTTGTCCCAGCGTGTCCTCAAAGGATGGCCCCCAGCGCTGCTGGAGCCCAGGGACCCCAGCTCCCTGCCCCCAGCCCGGGGCCATGTGCTCGTGGCATGTGTGTGTGGCCTGTCTCTGAGCCCTGTGTCCCTCTGCTTGGCTTCCAGGGTTATTTAATAAGGTATTTGCTGTATCGCCCCCATGGGGTCCTTGGAGTGATAATATTGTTCCCCTCGTCCGTCTGTCTCGATGCCTGATTCGGACGGCCAATGGTGCTTCCCCGCCCCTCCACGTGTCCGTCCGTCGTCCGTCCGCCCCTCTGCCAGCGGGTCTCCCCTCAGTGGCCTCCAGCATCTTGCCCGGAAGCTCGAGAAGGAAATGAAGGATCTGGACTCCATCGAGGTCTTCCTCCCTCTGACCCCGAGGACCTGGGATCAGAGCGCAAGAGAGACTGACAGGGGAGGGGCTCGCCAGGCCTCCCTGGAGCACTGCGGCCTGGACTGGCTCCCCGAACCCCGCCTGGCCCTGAGGACCTCTCCGCACGGCCCGCCTGGTCCGGCCCCGGGCGGCTCTGGTGGGAGCATGCCAGGCAGGCCAGAGCGCCTGGTGCCCTGTGGCTGAGACTGAGAGACCCCTCCCCCAGGCCCTGGCCCAGCCACCACGCCCTTCGCCTGTGCTCAGCAGGGCAGCGTTCTTTCCTTTCACACATCTGACGCCTTCGAAGAGGCGGACTCTCCGGGCAGGGGCGGCCCAGGCGCCAGGCAGCCCAGAGCCGTTTCGATGGCTTCGAGATGAAGTTTGCTCTGGAGGTGGGTGTAGGCAGGGACCTGGGCATTCACTGCCTCCTCCACTCCCCCCTCGCTTCCTCCTCTGTTTCGCCTCTCTACCTCCACCCTGCATCTCCCTCCTGCCCACCGAGGGAGCACCCCTCCCCGTGGCTCCCGTCCCAGCCCAGCCCACACTGCCAGGCCAGGCCCTGCAGGGCGCACTGCCCAGCCCACCGCAGGCGGGACCACTGTCACTTTGCAGACACGGCCCATCTGGGCGTTTATTATGACGGAGTCAGGCGGGGGGAGGATAGTGTCTTGAGGGAAGGGGTCCTTTTCTTGATTGTCACAAAGGCTCTGTATGCGCTGCTGTGCCTCTGACACCCCCCCCCCCCCAGCCCCGGCTTGCAGAGGCCGGACAGGGGTGAGCGCAGGGTGGAGGGCTGGAGGTAAGACCCATCTGGCCTGTCTCCCCGCGCCCTCGGCTCCAGCAGGCCTGCCCCCAGGCAGATGTGAGGAACTCCAGGGACTGGCTCCAGGGAGGGGACACGCTCCCTGTCTCAGATCCATCTCCAGTGGCTGGCGTGGGGGGAGGGGAAGGGGAATGATCCCCGGGCCCCCTAGGTGTGGGCTCTGAGCCCCCTTCCCATCTTCTACTGCACCCCCCCCCCCCCCCCCCCCCCCCCATACCCCACTCTGCTTCCTTCAGTTTGTAAAGTCGGTGATTATATTTTTGGGGGCTTTCCTTTTATTTTTTAAATGTAAAATTTATTTATATTCCGTATTTAAAGTTGTAAAAAAAAAAATAACCACGAAAAACAAACCAAAGGAATCCGCCGGAGGTCTGTCTGTTGGCATCGTGCGCGGCCGCTACCCTTTCCGCGTTGGCAGGGCTCGCCGACAGCTTGCGGCGTGTTCCTCTCACTCCGGGAGGCTCGGCGCACACGCGCGCGCACGCACGCGCACGCACGCGCACGCACATGTGCTGCTCCGCGGGAGGCTCTGTCGGGTGGGGTGGGCAAGAGCCACGCCGCCCGCTCTGTGGGTCTTGGTCTTACAGCAGCTCCTGGCCCCAGGCCCGGCCTTGTGCCTCCCACCGGCTGTGTGACCAGATGGCTTTTCCGGCCTGAGGGTCCCCATAAGCCAGTGGTCGGCAAACTCATCAGTCCACAGAGCCAAATGGCAACGGTACAACAATTCAAATTTCTTTGGAGAGCCAAATTTTTCAACGTAAACTTCGAACGCCACTTCTTCAAAATAGACTCGCCCAGGCCGTGGTATTTTGTGGAAGAGCCACACTCAAGGGGCCAAAGAGCCGCATGTGGCTCACGAGCCGCAGTTTGCCGACCATTGCCATAGGGAAGCAGAGCCTCAGCATCACAGAGTTGGGCTGGCTGTTGGGGGGAGGGGCCCTCCATGGGGGGACGGCTGGAGCAGGTCCCAGTGGGGCTGGTTGTGGGGGGGGGGAGGTCCTCCATGGGGGGACGGCTGGAGCAGGTCCCAGTGGGGCTGGCTGTGGGGGGGAGGGGCCCTCCATGGGGGGACGGCTGGAGCAGGTCCCAGTGGGGCTGGCTGTGGGGGGGGGGGTCCTCCATGGGGGGACGGCTGGAGCAGGTCCCAGTGGGGCTGGTTGTGGGGGAGGACCTCCATGGGGGGACGGCTGGAGCAGGTCCCAGTGGGGCTGGTTGTGGGGGGAGGTCCTCCATGGGGGGACGGCTGGAGCAGGTCCCAGTGGGGCTGGTTGTGGGGGGAGGTCCTCCATGGGGGGACGGCTGGAGCAGGTCCCAGTGGGGCTGGTTGTGGGGGGGGAGGTCCTCCATGGGGGGACGGCTGGAGCAGGTCCCAGTGGGGCTGGCTGTGGGGGGGAGGGGTCCTCCATGGGGGGACGGCTGGAGCAGGTCCCAGTGGGGCTGGTTGTGGGGGGAGGTCCTCCATGGGGGGACGGCTGGAGCAGGTCCCAGTGGGGCTGGCTGTGGGGGGAGGTCCTCCATGGGGGGACGGCTGGAGGAGGCCCAGAGGGGCTCTGGATTGGGAAGGGACTCCGGGGAAAGTGGGGTCTACAGTCTGATCTTGGCTGGGCCTGGAGCCAGCTACGTGGCCTTGGGCAACCTCAGCCCCCTTCTGGCCAGGACCTCATCTGCAACTCGAAGAGCAGGAGACGCGTGGCCTCTGGCGCCCAGCGGCGGGTTCGGTGCTTTCCCTGTGGAGACGGGTACATCCCGTGGACAGATTTCAGGCGTGTTCTGGTCCCGCCTGCAGGCCGGCGGGCTGAGGGGAACCAGGAGGGGGATCCGGCTCACACTGAAACCGTTTGCTGCTGGTCTGAGCTCCCGGCCCCGGAGAGCGGGAGTGGCTGAGGTTGGAGTGAACGCATTAGGTTCCTCAGGACTGAGTGGTTGAGCGATGGACCGATTCCGTCATTCACTCGCCTTCGTGAGCCCCTCGCACGTGCTGCCTCTCCTGGGGCCTGCATACCACGGGGTTTCACTTCGTCCTGGGTGCCCCGCCCTGTGCGGGAGGAGGCGGAGGCAGCCGGTGGGGTGGTGGGCGGAGCAGGTCAGAGGGGTTTACCTGGAAATGCCTCACCTGCCTGCCCCACCCTGTGTGTGGGGTGCTGCCCTCTCCACCAAACCCCAGTGTCCTGGGCTCGGGTACCCAGGCAGGCCTGGCTGGAGGGGAGGGGCCAGCTTCACCAGAACATGAAATGCGAGGGTCCAGGCCTGTGTCACCGCAGTGCTTCGCTCTCTTTGGAGGCTTAGCATTTGCCTCCATAAATAACAAAATAGCGAACGTTTACCATTGGTGAAGTATCATATCTGTGAACTCATCCATCCACCCACCCATCCATCTATCTGCCCATCCATCCATCCATCCATCCATCTGCCTACTCATCCATCCATCCATCCACCCACCCATCCACCCATCTGCCTACCCATCCATCCAATTATCCATCCACTCATCCATCCATCTGCATATCCATCCATCCATCCATCCATCCATCCATCCACCCATCCATCCATCTGCCTACTCATCCATCCATCCATCCACCCACCCACCCACCCATCCACCCATCTGCCTACCCATCCATCCAATCATCCATCCACCCATGGATGGATGGATGGAAGCACTGGAGCAGCAAAATGATGGCTAATGGGCTTAGAGAGATGAAGATCACGCAGCTCCTCACTGGCCAGATCCCAACAAGGTCCCCTCTGCTGACACCGTATCTGGGGTGTTTCCACTCTGCTTTAGAGTCAGACCAGGAGCCCCAGAACCCCAACACCTGCACATAATGTTCCCATTCAGCTGCCCAGTTACTGTGTGATCCTAGGAATGTCACTGCTCCTTCTAGATCCCAGCCTGACTTCCAGGCCTGACTGGCCCCTGACCTTCCTTCAGGCCTCCCACCAAGGGTCAGATCAGGCTCTGCCCAGTCTTTCCAAAAAGCAGACCCTGGCCCAGACCCCCTTTGTTACCTGCTTTACTTATCAACATAGTACTGACCCTGTTGGTTTCTCCCATATCTACATCTCTCCTTGTCTCCACATGGAAGCTCCCCACGGAGTTATTTTGTTCATGATGCTGTCCCCAGAGTCTAGCATAGTGCCTGGTACATAGTAGGTGCTCAGTAAATGCCTGTCCAATGAATGAACATAAAGGCCTGTTATTGGAGCAATTAGGTGTGTGGGTCCAAGTCACAGCTTGTCTGGCTGATCATCACATGCACTATGGTGTGGCTGGAAAACTGGACTATTACAGTTCCTCAGCTGGCTCCCTGTTTAGCACTACAGCTTCCTGGACTGAGAGATCCTCAAGGATGGGGTCATGTCAAATCCATCTTCTAAGTCTACCAGGCATCATCTCCTTCCACGTCTACACCTCTTCCTCCTTCCATCCACCCACCCATCCATCCACTCATCCATCTACTCATCCATCCACCCACCCACCTATCCATTCATCCATACCCATCCATCTGCCTACTTATCCATCCATTCACCCATCCACCCATCTATCTGCCTACTTATCCATCCATTCACCCATCCACCCATCCATTCATCTGCCTACTCATCTATCCACTCATCCATCCATCCACCCACCCACTCACCCACCCATCCATACACTCATCCTTCCACTCATCCATCCATCCATCCATCCATCCATTTACCCACCCACCTACCCCCCTCGTTCATCTCCTCTCTATTTATCACTGTCACCATGTCCCAATCTGTTCCTGCCTTGCTTTATTAACTTGTAAGGTGCCCCAGTAGAGAGAACACAGGTTTAGCGACAGCACATGATGAGGTCCTCCTGCCAGCATTGCCAGCTCCGCTGCTCGGCCTGGCAGAGTGTTGTGTAGGTTAGAGACGCGAGCCTGAGCACGGCAGCTGGTGCACACTGTGCCCGCGGTCCACGGCAGGGTTATTTTTTAACTCTCACCCAGCAAACGGCTGATCACAGCACAGTGGAGATGGAAACAAGGACCACGAAATCACAGAGGGATTAAAAGGTCAGCTGCAGCCAACACATGCATTTGTATTCCAGGCACCATCCCATCATTCTACCCAATTAACCCGGCAATCCTTTCAGGCGATGCCATTGTCCCGTGAAACAGACCAGGAAGCAGGTCCAAGCCCCTCCCCCGCTCCCCAGGGCCCCAGGGGCTCCTGTAAGCCGCCCCGGCCCCTGGGGGCTGATGGCACAGACCCTGAATGTCACAGCAGGCCCTTCCTCATGTCGGGAACTCTGGGTCTCTGCCTGACTGGGGTCTGGGCCTGGGCAGGCACCAGGGTCTGCCTCTGGGGGCTCAAGTCAGACCTCTGTTTTCCAGGCCTTTCTGCTTATAGAAGCCACAGAGCCTGTGGGTCATCCATCCATTCCCCCCGGGACCTTGTGACCCATTAACCCCACCGACACCTGCTCTCTGCCCTCCCAGGGTCCCGGTTCCTCCCCCACACGGAGGCCTTGGGAAGGCGGTGGGGCTGTCACAGGGGGGTGGATGGGTGCTCCAGTCCCTGTGGCTAATCTGCACTCTGCCTCTACGTTATACTCGGCTCTTCTGTCATCTCCACGTCCGTGAGCAGGGGCCGCCGCTGCGTCAGGCTCAGCGCCCGTGCCAGCCAGCATACCCGCCCCGGAAACAATTAGAACCACCCCCAGCGAGGAGGCTGGCACCCGAAAGCCAGAACCGCTGCGGGGTGCTGTGTTAACACAGCCCACTCAGCGGTGCCATTCACACATTGCCACCAGATCTCTGAGGATACGAAAGAGCAAAGCTTTGCCCAGATTTGGGATTGGGTTGATCTTCAATTCTGCTCGGCTGTGTCTGAAGACACGGAGGGGCCGGGGGAGGGGGAGACACGGGGCGGGGG